TCCTCGGTTCGGACGCTCCAGGAGGCCTGGACGGTCAGCGACGACGCCTCCCACCTCACCTCGTGGGCAGGGACCAGGGTCCACGCCTTCCGAATGAGTCGCGGGGAGAGGCACCCGAAGCAATGGGGGCGACCCGGGCGGGGGGCGAGAGAGCGAGACGGAAGGGCCCGGAAGCGACCTCGTAGGTGGCTGAGCCCTTGACCACAAAGCAGAGATTCTTAGACCGGCCCAAGCTGCCACTCGCGGTGCTTGAAACACTCTAGGCTCCTGTAGGCGCCATGGCGCCTTCCGGGGCAGAGCCGGGCACCGGGTAAGGCGGTGTTTGCGGAAGTGCCCGAGGAGGGAGCGCGCCTCGGATCTGCCGTGCCGGATGGGTTGGCTGAGCTGAGCGTCTGGGGACCCTGGCTCCTACCGATCTGTGCTCTGGCACGCCGCAGCGCCTGGATCCTTGGGGCTGGGCTCCGCGACTCTGGAGGAGGGGCCCTGCATTCTTTTTGCAGGCCACGCAGGTGGTTCTGGTGCTGCCTGAAGTTTGAGGATCTTCGCGTCACACTGTTAACAGGTGGCACATCCTCACTGCTTTTGCCATCTAGTCGTGCCAACCTAATTCAGTGTTTGTCTTCTTTCAGTTATTTGTATGATAGGGGAAACTGAAGATTTTAAAAGTTAAGTTTTTCCATAGTGACGAACTATGTAGGTACACTTTTTCTTACTAGTCAAGACTCGAATTACAGGGGGGAACTAACAGAATAAATGTCACTTTTATCTTTCTAAGCTTAATGATTGAGAATGACAACATTACTATCTCAGGGTATAACACCGAGGGACTTGTCCCAGTTTCAGTTCTGCTGGGGCATCTGAGAACCGCTACGTATATCTGAACGTGGACCATAGTTGTGTTTGGTGAAGATATGAATCCTGTGGACAAACATCAAAAGACCAGTAGAAATGAAATCATTCCAAAGTTTTGGAAATATGGATATTCTTCCCCCTTTCTAATTTATTTATTTTAATTATTTTATTTAACTATTTATTTTTAATTTGACCAGAGAGAGAAGGAAAGTGAGAAAGCAAGCCACCCGGTCTGGGATTCAAACTGAGGTCAGCCCTTGGGAGGGAGTCTGGTGCCCTTAACCACCATGACACCTAATGGCCCCCTTTCCTAATTTTAAAGATTGATCACCACCACTTAGGAACCCAAGAGACTTTTGGGTCTTTCCATGTAAATCTGAGGAAATCGTATTTTGACTGGAGACTTAAAGTGAACTGCACTAAGGGCTGCCTCTTACTGGTTTTTATCATTCAGTTCTTCTAAGCATTTATTCTACTTTCGGAAAGTTCAGTTCTAAACCCAGAATGTAATAAATTAAGTGGATGCTGCTTAGGTGAACAGACTTTCGTTACTTGGGAGTAGGAAGATGAAGCCTCTTAAGTTTTTTCAACATTTTATTGTGAAAATTTTTCAAATGTTCAGAAAATTTGAAAAAATTTTTAAAATAATTATGTTTATTTTTAATTTTATTTATTCATTTAATTTGATGAGAGGGAGATAGAGAAAGAGAGAGAGAGAGAAAGTGAGAAAGCAAGCCACTAGGTCTGGGACTCGAACTGTGGTCAGCCATGTGGGAGTGTCCTGTGCCTTAACCACCCTGCCACCTGCCCGTCCCATGAAAAAAAAATTTGAGAGATTTTTGCTATGGGGCACATGCACTCACCTAAGAAACAGAGACAAAGAGAGAAAGTGAGAAGTCACCGCCCGGGGGGGATGGGGATGCCATCATTCTCATCTCAGGATTTTGGGCACGAGCCCAGCTTAGTTTCAAGCCTCTAGGTCTGGGCCTTGAACTGTGGTCAGCCATGTGGGAGTCCAGTGCCCCAACCAGTGCGTCACCTGTTGGCCCTGAAAATCTGAAAAAATTTTACAGTGGTCCCCTGTATTATGCAAGTTCTGCCCTTTTGCTATCTCCATTACGGTAGCCGTTAGACTACTGTCACCACTGAGCATTGAAATGTGGCCAGAGCAGCTAAAGCACTGAGTTTTTACATTTTTATTTAAATTAAAATAGCCACATGTGATTAGCAGGTACCATCTTGGCAGTATTAACCAAGACTACTGTCAACGTTTTACTGTACTTGCTTTATCGTGTGTCCATCTTCGTATCTAACCTGGTGTTAAAGAAAAAAAAAAATCAGGTAGATGCTCCCTGTCTACCATAGTGACTCAAATTCATTGGATTAAAAGCATTTTCCTGTTTTTATATATGCAGTTCTTATAGTACTTTTATTTCTGCTATTTTTAATTGCCAGAGGAGACACATGCACTTACCAGAACAGGAAGGGGGAACAGGGAGAGAAAGCACCTCACGATGGGGCGTGGTCATATGGCAGTACCTTTTTCCCCATTTCTCCTTCTCATTAGGGTTCTGTACAGCTAAGCATGTATGCCCAGAATGTTTTTTAAGCAGCCTCTAGAACTAGGATTCCAACCAGTGTTGGCTTTGTAGAATCTGGCTCTCTTAACCACTATATACTATACAGCCTTATAGTGTGTGTGTGTGTGTGCATATGTGTGTGTGTGTATATATATTTATATACACATATATATATATATATTTTTGAGTTTTACTATAGGGTGTGTGCGCTTGCTGAAAAGACAGAATACAAATCATCCCCCAGGGAGGATGGTCATGCTGCAATCCCTTCTCCATTTTCTTCTCAGGATTTTAGGTATGCACGGACACTGGCCCGGTAATTTCAAGCCTCTAGGTCCAAGATGTGGACCTCAGAGGGCCATGTGAGAGTCTAGTGCCTTGACCACTGTGCCACTGGCTGGCCTCAGTATATTCTTTCAGTACTAAAATAACTAAGTCACCAAAGAGGCAATCAGAGGACACTTACTTTCTTGTATGTGTGACTATTTCTTCTTCTTCTTCTTTTTTTAATACAACACAAATCCATTTTTATTCATTTACATTTCATTATTTTAAATCCTTGAGGGATACAGCGTCACACGGATTCTGTGTCCAATAGCCTTAGCAGGCAGGTTGCTTCGGAATTTGGCTCGAACCATGCCACTGTTTCCATGGGCTCGGGTAACCTTTCCCCAGATTACTCTGGTTTTATTTGGTTTGCCACCAGGAGTCACTGTGTTGTTTTTTGCTTTGTACACATATAGGCACACCTTTTGCCTAAACAGAATTCCATTTCATCTCGTGCATAAACACGTTCAATTTTAAGAAGAGCTGTGTGCTCCCTTTGGTTTCTAAGACCCTGCTTATAGCCAGCAAAAATGGCCTTGGACCACAGCCTTCCAGACAGAGTTGCCTTTTAGAAGTCCTGTTCCCAGCAGGCCTCCACAGGCTCCAAAATGGCAGAAAGAGCTGTGTGACTATTTCTTATATTTCCTTCAGACTTTTTTTTTTGTTTGCTAGAGGGCATGTGTGCTTGGGGGGAGGAGAGCACCTCAATGGGTGTGAGTGTGCTGCAGTTCCTTCATTTCTCCATCTTGCTGGGATTCGGAGAACACACACTTGTGCACCAGCATGGTTTTCAAGCTGCTGGGACTGTCAGAACACAGTTGGCCATGTCGTATCCAGCTGCGTCAGCCACTAGACTGCAGGGCCAGACTTCCATCAGACTTTTTTTAAACCAGTTTTCTGTTACCTTTGTAGGAAACCAGTTGTGTCCTTTGTGGGCATTCTGTGACTGAAAGAATTGGGGGCAGGGAGGGGGTACTGGCAGGTGACATCGTGGTTAAGGGTGCTAGACTCCCATATAGCCCACTGTGGTTCGAGTCCCGGACCTGGTGACTTCCCTTTCTCTCTCTCTCTCTCTCTCTCTCTCTCTCTTTCTGTGTCCCTCTCTGGTCAAATATAAATAAATAAATAAATAAATAAATAAGATGAAGTTAAATAATTCTTTAAAAAAATGCAAGCTGCTATTGCTTTCACTATTAAAAAAAAAAGAATTGGAGGGAATTGAAAATTGGGTGGGGAGAAACTTTTCAGTTTTGCCTCCCACTTTTTAAGTATATGCAATCCTGAGTCACAAGACTGAACTTTCTGTTCAGTCAGAGGTTCTCAGCAAGGACAAAAAAATATGCTCTGGCCTTGAATTCCTGGTCAGGAGGCAATGAGGAAAGTGATTCCCTTCTGCATTTAATCATTTAGAAGGACAAAACTTTTCATTCAGCTTAGTTCTCTGGAAAACACAGTACGTTCCTGTTAGCTGTAGGTATCATAAATTACTACCAGTATAATGTATGATCACTGCTGAAAGGCAGAAACTTTTGTGGTTATTTTTTTTGAGAGGTTTTTGCTGTAGGACGTGTGCGCTCACCAGAAAGACGGAGAGAAAGAAAGCAAGAAATCATCCCCCAGGGGGGATGGCCACGCCACAATCCCTTCTCCATTCTCCTCTTGGGATCTCAGACACGCACACACACGTGCCCCCTGTGCATTTAAGCCACTGAGTCTGGGACTTGAAACGCGGTTGACTACGTGGGAGTCCAGCGACATAGCCATTACGCCAGCTACTGATCCTGAAAGGCAGAAGCTTTTAAAAAAACATTTCTTAGAACATCATGTAGGGGCCTGCAGGTGGTGTGGTGGTTAAGAGTGTTGGACTCCTGTATGGCTGACCATGGTTTGAGTTCTGGACCTCCTGGCTTGCTTTCTCACTTTCTCTCTCACTCTGTCCCTCTCTGGTCAAATTAAAATAAATAAATCATTTTTTAAAAAGAACATCATTGTAGGTTTATCTCTGGGCTGTTAGAAGAGCAGTAGTGCACAATTAATAGATCTCTTCATTTGGAAAGAGGAACCTTCCTTCCTTTCTTTCTTTCTTTCTTTCTTTATTTTTGGAGAGGTTTTTCACTATAGGGCGCGTGCGCTCGCCAGACAGACAGAGAGAGACATAGAGACAGAAAGCGAGAAATCACTCCCAAGGGGGATGGTCACGCCGCAATCCCTTCTCCTCCATTCTCTCGGGATCTTGGGCACCACGCACATGCGCCCGGCGTGAGTTTTAAGCCACCGGGTCCAGGACATGAACCGCGGTCGACTACGTGGGAGTCCAGCAACATAGCTATTACGCTAACTGCTGGTTCCCTATTCATTTATTTTTGATACAGGGTCCATGCACTGGTTGGAGAGAGACAGAGAGAGAGGGAGAGTGACAAATCACCATCCAGAGGGGATGGTCATCCAGCATTCTCTTTATTCTCTCAGAATTTTGGGCAAGCATCCGCAAGTACCCAGCATGTCTTTGAAGCCGCTGAGTCTAGGCTAACACGCACTTAGCCATATGGGATCCACTGCATTAATCACTTGCTGGCCCTGGAAAGAAACTTTTGACTAGAATTTGAACACAAAAGAATGTAGCAGCTACCAACTTGAAGGCTTATTGAATGTTGATTTGTTTTAGAAGTTCTAACCTAAGCGTAATCTAGATCAAGGTGGGCTAGGAGAAAGCTGGACTGATTTGGAAGAAATCAGAGTTGGAAAGCTTCCTGTGTTTTAAAGGAGTTGAAGAGTGCAACAAGGTCAGCCTAATTGTGTGGTGTGAACCTTGGCTGGTATGAATCCTGTTCCACAAGATGTTCTTTAAAGAATTTCAATCTCATGAAGTCACATCAGTCTTAATCTCTCATTCGTCAGATGTGGTTTTTTTGTTTGTTTGTTTTTCTGAGAGGTTTTTGCTGTAGGGCGTGTGTGCTCACCAGAAAGACACAGAGACAGAAAGTGAGAAATCACCCCCCAGAGGGGATGGCCACACCGCAATCCCTCCCCCTCCATTCTCCTTTCGGGATCTTGGGCATGCATGAACACACACCCAGTATGAGTTTAAGCCACCAGATCCGGGACTTAAACTGCGGTTGGCTATATGGGAGTTCAGTGACATAGCCGTTACGCCAACTGCTGGTCCTGATGTGTTTTGTTTTTTAATTGTAATTTTTTTTCATTGGAAAACAAATATACATCTTGGAATGGATTTGAGGCAAATTGTGCCATAAGCAGATTTTCTTTAAGTGGCTAAACAACATTTAAAAAGCAAGTAAAAATAAAAGAAAATGTTTCTGGTACAGGGCCAGCAGTACAAAAGAATAGTGTACAAGTACCTGGATAGTACACCTGTTTTGCAGTAGTGCAGCTTCTAAGTACATATTGTTGACTGTCTGTAGTCCACGCAGAGTTATAACTCCACACTTCAACATGCTGACAGTTCCTAAAGAAAACTACTTAAAAACAGGCATAACCTAGATGTTCCCTCATTTGACCAACTCCATCGAAGTTTAAATATGCAGAAGGGTTTCGATATATCCAGAGAAAGCCACATGTTACTCGATCAATTTTCTAAAATAAGGTCTCAGGACAATGACAGTAAGATAAGGAAGAAAATATGGAGAAATAAGTTCTAATTACTATACACACATATCTTCTTGCCAGGAGGGAGATACCTTTTACAGATAAGTTACAAACAAAGAAAAGGCAGAAATTTAACACATTCTGTACAATGTCTTTACTTTGCTGTCATCATCTGTACAGACTCTTTGTGGTTTACTTGGCCATCATCATCAATATCTGCTTCCCTGGTCATTTCATCCACTTCTTCATCTATTTACTTCTCTCCAAGGTTTGTCATCACATGGCAAAATTCTGCTGTAATAATATAACCCTTGCCATTCTTATCAAACACATAGACTGCTTCTCTAATTTCTTCTTTACTGTCTGTGTCTTTCATTTTTTTGCCATCATTGTCAAAAATTCAGGGAAGTTAGTTGTGCCATTTATCGTCAGCGTCTACTTCATTAATAATCTCTTATAACTAAGCTTCTGTGGGATTTTGTCTAAGAGACCTCATTACAATTCCCGATTCCTTTGCTATTATGATTCTATCACCATCCTTGTCAAATAGTGAAAATGCTTCTTTGAATTCTGCAATCTATTCTTTAGTCAGTTGGTCTGCCATGATGCAAGCACTACTGGTTTCCCACAAGGTACCACATAACCACTTGGCTCGCTCATTACACTCAGACTCTTGTTAGAAGTTTTATATAAAGCATCGGGTATACTCATAGTATCAATTAATATTCTTTTTATTATTTTTTTTCCCATTTCTTTCAAGAACAGTAGACAGATACGGCAACTCCAACAGGGTCTTTGTACAGTGGTCCACACCCAGCTTTAGCCAACCCTGGATCACAAATAGACATGTGGCTGACGTACTTAGGAAGATCTCCAGACTTGAACCAGGAACCTTCCCATGTGGAATTGTCTCATAAAGTATTACATTTTACCACTGCACCACTGTCTGACCCCTGGTGTATTGTTTTTGAATAAGTTTACTCTTTTCAAAGTTAAGAATACAAGCCCAAAGTAAAAGTATTTGAAAGAGTATTGTTTTTATTCAAGGATAACATTGTCAGCCTGTCCTTACGGCCTAGTGGTTAAGGACCCAGATCTCACATTGCTGTGGTTCTATCCTGGCCCTGGTGGCTTGAAAAACACACTAGACACACGTGCATGCATGCTCCAGATCTCAATAGAATGGGTAAATGGAGGAAAAGGGATGTGATGTAACCATGCCCCATGAAAAGGGTTGCTCTCCCTTTCCCTGTCTCTCTCTGGTGTGATATACATGCTCTTTGCTCTTTGGTAATAAAATAAAATGAATAAAGTTAGAATAATGTTAAAAAAAAAAAGTTTTTTTGAGAGATTTTTGCTATAGGACACGTGCGTACGCCAGAAAGATAGAGACACACAGAAAGCAAGAAATCACCCTCCAGGGGGATGACCATGCCTCAGTCCCTTCTCCTCCATTCTCCTCTTGGGATCTTGGGCACGCATGCTCATGTGCCCAGCATGAGTTTAAGCCACCAGGTCTGGGACTTGAACCACGTTTGACTACATGGGAGCCCAGTGACAGCCATTATGCCAACTGCTGGTCCCTAAAAAATATTTTTTTAAAAAGAGGGATAATGTATATGAATAAACTTAGGAAGAAGTTTGATTTACAAATGACAAATTGTTGTTCTGTGGTCAGTGGTGAATAGTTT